TTTTCATCCAGTTGCAGACCAAGGACCCATTTTAATGATTTGTGAGAAAGAGACTAATCAGTAAATAGTATTGCCCCCAAGCTGAATGGTCAAACCCCTGATGTTACAGCTCTGATGTCCACCTTCTCCACGTTAATTATAGCCAAGGTCAGTCAGGGTCATGTGGGGTGGCTGATTGCACTCCCAGAAGCAAAATTTGAGATCCAATTTCTCACTTGCCACAATTTGCATCATCCAGACGGACATTTTATCCAAGGATCTGATGCTCCCAAACTGGTAACATTTTAGCTCAGTTTACTGTTTGATCTGGCTGCTGGAAAGTTCGGGCCAGATTTGTAGCCCATCTCGAACGCGCATGTTGGGTACAAAGTTCACTCCTGGTTTAATGTTTTCACTTCCTCTTTACTTAGATCACCTTAATCTATGTAAACTTTATCATTGTATGAGACTCTGTAAGCTCTCAAAAACCTTTCTGGAACAAGGCAAAGCATAAAACACACTTTAGTTACATTTCACTATGTACCACAGGCTGGTTCAGGTCAAAGAGCTCAGGGATTTAAAAAGTGGTAATGTTGTGGCGCCTGGCTGGCTCAGTCAGTAGAGCATGTGACTCTTGAACTCAGGGTTGTGAGTTCGAGCTCCATGATGGGTGTACAGATTACTTAAAAAGTGGTAGTAGGGCAAAATAGGTCAAGGGGATTAAGAGGCATAAACTTCCAGTTATAAATGAGTCAGTCATGAGGATATAACCTACAGCATAGGGGTCATGGCCAATAACACCGAGGTAACTTTGTATAATGACAGACAGTAACTAGACTTATGGTGGCAATTTTATAATGTAAAAAAAATTTTTAAAGGTAACATTTCTTAGCGTATTTATATTATCCCCAGGGCAAAATTCAACTTATAAAAATCTGAATTTAGGGAGTTAAAAGCCAATGAAAGACAGATTCAAACTACCTCAAGTCAATGTTCCCAGATGCTTCTAAAAGTCCAGAAAGGGCCATTAAAAATGGAATCATTCAGGTTTAAAAAAAAAAAAAGTCTGCCTGGAAAGGTGCTGGGTCATGGTACATCACAGCATACAGGAAAACCAGAGGTGGATTCTTTATTTCACAAGTTTCAAGATACAGTACAAAACGAATCTGTACATCTCTCTATTAACAGGATTTGTTTACACAATTATATTACACTTCACCAGCCTTTATACCGTATTTAATTAAATACAAAATAAATTTACAAAAAAGTCTACTATGGTGTTCCTTCCAATGCCAGCTTATGGTCTTTTTAAACTTCTCCTAAATAGATAGTGGTTATACCTTGATCGAATCGACACTGATTTTTTTTTTAAACCAAAGAGACTAGTGTCAGCTTGTTTTCATTGCAAATAGGAAAACCAGTGCGAGTAAGAGGACTCCCTGCACATCGCCAAGACCTCCTTCCCATGCACACAAAATTGGAGTTTTGCTTGTGCAAATAGTCGTTTTAAAATACAAATCATTTTTACTTGGGGTAATTTAGGTTTTCCTGAACTACTAAGTGGAAGGAGAAGTTTAGCTGCTTTTCAATGACTGCCACACATTTAAAATATCAGGTAGTGCCTCAGACAGTGTGGTGTTCAGCAAATTTCCATTTTCATCTATACTGGAGGGCAATGAAGAGGAAAACGATTTTCATGAAAATCGTTTTCTCTTGCTTTGTTTCTTGCATTCTCCTAGTCATAATGTGGTGCAACACATATTAAACTCACTTCCAGAACAAATACTAGCTGTCATCGGGGCAAAAGTAGCCCATTCCGCTCTTCTTGGCAGGTGAAGGGGCTGTTTATCTGACACCGTTTTTGAAATGTGCATGTGAAACGTCAGTCCAAACCTCTGTGAGGGAAGTTCTTTTGCAGATGGAGCTAGACAGTAATACACATGCTACACACATGAAGAGCTGTGGTCTCCATTGACAGGCTTGCATGCATACTTCCAAAACACTGGTTTGAAGAACAAATATGAACAGCAAAGAAAGGAGGGAAAAACGAAGCAAGAAAAAAAAAATCCTATACAAAATACTTAAGTTTCCTGGAGGCAACAGCAGCTCCTTAATTAAATAAGCATCAGATCATGGCCAGATCGTGGTAGAAGTTTCTACAACTTCCCAACGGTTCAGAGACGGAACAGCTTAGCAGTAAAGCTTTCACAAATTAACCTTATATGCACAAGGGTAAACAAATCCTCAAGAGTATTACGATAAGCGATTCCCAAGTTAATCTCATTTCAGTGCTAAATAAGGAATTATGGAAAAAAGAAAAGGGGGGGAGGGTTACTTTTTCTGTGTCATCGAGTGTTAACCAAAACTAAGGTAAGCCTTACTCAGAAAACAAAAACAGAAAAATACAACCACAGAAAGAAACAAAAACGAAACAACCCCAAACACCAACGCTACCTTTGTGACATAAAACAGAAGCAAAAGGGTGGTCTCAAGACTCTGAAGCAGTTGACAAGCCACAAAGCAAATGCACAGAATATACGCTAAGTAGAGTACTACTGTCGTCACCTCTGATGGCAGGAAGACAGGCTATTAAAGGGGTCAGGAGACAGGCTACCATGGAGAAATGGAGCTGCACTCGATCTGCTAACTCTAAGTTCTAACATTAAAACTCCTGAATCCTGGAGTTAGTTTAATGTCACTGACATTAACTAGCTTTAGTTACTGTCATTTTATTCAAATGGATGCCATTTGATTAGGTAAGTATTGAGCATTATTTTAGGAGAAACACCAAACCCAGTTCCTACTTGCCTAGGAATTATGTCCCGTGAGCAGAAAAGAAAAAGGGAGCAGAGTATTTTGAGACAGTCATGAGGACTGAAGTCCCAAAGCCATACAGGAAGTTAAGTTATTTTAACTAGACTGTTCAAATTTCCAGTAGCAAATGACCCAAGGGTATGGCAGGAGGGAAGGGAAAAAAAAAAAAGCCAAGAAAAGGGTGGGCATATTAGTGATAAAAAGGACCTGGCAAGTAGTGGTAAACTGACAAGGAGTTTGTTATTGCGTGAAGAACAAGACCGCGCGTTCCCAGCTGGCGTCGGGTGGTACGCACTACTTTATGAAATGTCTTCTCCAAGTACTACCGGAGGGAAGGAAAGCTAAGGATAAAAATGTTGTTAAAGGAGAAATCGGGTGGGTGGAAGAGGAAAGAAACAGTTATTTAGTCATCTTAGAGGGATTTTTAAACATTTAAATAAGTTACAATAGTTCCTTTGAAAAGAAATGTGGCTGCTACCGTGAATTACACTCCGTTCTGAAGGGTGAGGAGAAGACAGTGGTGAAGACACCTGCATACTGTCCCAACTGCTCTCAGACCTCCCTGTGTAAGACAGCAAACGAGTCTTCATATTTAAGAGCTGCCCAGAGCAACACGATGCTTCTGAGATGGACATTTCCTACCTTTCGGATGCGCATATAGACACACGGTTCTCTCTGTGGCCACCTCTTCAAATTTGGAAGCAACTGTGTGGGAGTAAAGTTTGCTTACCAGGTTTCTCATAAGCCTCTAAACACGCACAAAAAGCATACAACTTCGCATTTAAAGCCTTCGTGTTCATTACAGACTAATTAAATCTAGTTCTAAATACAATCCCAACTTCAAAACCCAAAGTCTTACAACTCTACAGGTAATAAACTCTTCAAGTTTTCTGGCAGATGAGGGATTATGGAAAGAGTATAATAAGGTTAATATAAACAGACTGAGGTCAGGAGGCATAGAAAGCCTGCTCAGATACTAATGTAGTCTCAGACTAGACACAGGCTGGTGAATACCACCATCTGATAGTAAAAAGAAATACAAATTCAGTTTAGTTTAAATTTCTTCATTTGTATGATATGTGAAATCCTTGGTTTTCTTTGTTGCTGCATTTCACACTATTTAACCAGACTACTCTGAAGTGTAATGGCCTTGATTTTCCTAACGTTAACAGTGGGAGGGGTGGTGAACAGGACAGTTAACAAAGTGGCTGACTTTCTACTGGAATATAAAACTGCAGAAGTAAAAATCTACCTGAACAGTATAAACAGGCTTTGGCTTTCCTCAACCACTGAGTTTAATACGTCTTAGATTCTCTGAGTTTTAGTTTTATAATGGTAGTCACTGTATGCCATATCTTGGCAACAAGATTACAAATTTAAAGAATTCAGGAGAGTGTGAACAGTTCTTTTGCAATAAAAAAAAATTGCAAAGTAAAATAAACCCTGGGAACAAATGCTTCCTCTTTCGGGAAAGTGTGTCTATCACCTTGGGACCCCACCCAGAGTTCTTTAATATTGTTCTAATTTCTCCCACTTAGTCCATCCTCTGGCTTCCGGATCAAAGCTCTGTATACTCAAAAACAAACAAGCAAATTACATTGAGTAAGTGGGGCAAATTCACATGTTAGCTCAAGGAGTCAGTTCACAATGTTTTATATATTCCATTCCAGAGAAGTGAAGTTCACATAAAACTCTTTAACAGGCCTTTCAGTCTTTGAAGGAGAGAAGTATGGTATCAAGTGTGACAATCACCAATAAGAAGAAACGTCCCAGCCTCCCCTGTTAAAATAACAAATATGTTGAGTATGTATACTTGCATGTGGATTGGTAAAAGTTTCTCAGTTATTGCAGTTCTGAAACACTTTGAAGACTTTTTTTTTTTTTTTTTTTTTACTTAAAAGGCAAGTTCTATTTTCAGACCTTCAAACGTGTTAAGGTCAAACTTGCAACTAACTGGTTTTTTCCTTTTTACAAAGTGATCAGGTTTTAGTGTTGATGCACAAGACCTTAAAGGTGGCTGATAGAACTTCTGCACATTGAGAGAGTGACCAGAAGGACCCAAGAAAGACGGCTGGGTACAGCTGACATTGGGTCTCACATGTTTCCAGAAAAAAAAAAAGGGGGGGGGNCTGAGGGTAGCCCCTATTTTAAGAAATTAAGTCATAGTGAAGGAGTTAAAACAGAGAGAAAACCATTTCCCTTTTCAGAAAAAAAAAAAGGGGGGGGGGGGGGGGGGTGGAGAGGGGGAAAGCCACTGAGAGCTGTTATTCCATACGGCACTGAAACAAACCTTCAACTCAGTTTAGGTAAGAGTTACTTATCCCTGAAAATAAAGGCATCAGATTCTAAGCAGCTTTAGGAATTCAAGGTTTCCTTGTGCCTCTTCTAGGAGGTGACCACCGAGCCCAAGTCCTAAATCCAATGCAAGTGTTCGCAGCAAACGATTTCCTAGGTTGTTACTGGTCAAGGCTGGACACGGTGGCTGTTACTGTGGTGGCTGCTGCTCAGGCGGCCCCTCCTGCTGTGGTGGCCCCGGCCGTGGCCCTGGGGGCCGGGGCAGAGGCATGTCCTGGTGCTGCCTCTGCCTGTAAGCTATGACTGTTCCCAGCAGCAACGCGATGATGGTCATGAGGTAAAGGTCCCACTCAGGTCCCAAAAGCTGGTCCATGTCAAGCTGGGTGAACAGATCTCGAATCTTAATGAGAATGATAGAAGAGTCATTATGATCACTAAAATGTCAGAGAAGGAACCAGGAAAAAGTCACGTCACAAATTAGAGATGAGCACAGAACTTATTAAAATAATTGGTTTTAGGAATGTTTTGCAATGCCTTAAAAAAAGAGGCTTTAAAAGCCTTCAACTCAAAAAATAATGCGTCTCAGGAACTGAGTTATTATTTTGTGACCGTAGATGATACAGAGTGTCCAGCTGGCCTCCTTTCCAACCATTTTCACAGAAAAGATTTGCAAGGAATACTGGGGGCAACTGAAGTCCACTGCGGGGGGGGGGTGTTAGTGGGGGGGGGGACCACCTATCTGTGGTGACGGCAGCCCTGCTCCCATGACACCGGGGTTATTTTACTTCTTCCCTCGTATAACTGGAGATGGCAGGAATTCAAGTGTTTAATAGTTGAATGATTAATGCTTTTCAAGTAGGATTTCACTAAATATTTAATACTTTTGAATTTGAACTTAAAAGTTATGTTCTTAGTCCACGATACCTTGTTTTAGTTAGTGTCCCTTAGAAGTTATTCCTGAAATTTTCTGACTGCTACTTACCTACAAGGGAAGTAAACATGGAGTATAATCCTTTATATTGAAATAAAGGTCCCCATAATATATATTTATAGATGCAGGTGCTAATTTTCCTAGAAAAAGATTCTAAGAAACCATTAACTGTGTTTCCTGGGGTGGGATCTGTGATGGGAGATTTTTGTGTTTTCTGCACTGACTTTCTCGCCATCGATACTTAGTAACTCGTTTTTTTTTTGTTTTTGTTTTTGTTTTTTTTTTTGGTTGGAATATCTAATTGGTAGGATTATGGAGCATTTTATTGTCTTCTTTATGCTTCTGTATTAAAAAAACAACAAAGACAGGATACACTTAGTATGGTATAAGTATGACTAAATCCTAGACTGTAATTAACAGTTTATTAGTCTTACGAACTGTGAGAGACGAGGGTCTGAAATAGCCCTGAGAGAGAAAAGCAGCAGGCTGCCACACTGTTAGCTCTTTAGTGAAAGGAACAAAGGTTGTTTCCACCAGGGGACAGTACAGCACGCCTGGCTCTGGCTATCAAGAAGTTATGAATGTGCCATTACAAGCATGTAAGCAATCGGGAGGCCAGAGCCCAACACGCCGGGTCCCCCGGAGCCCTATGCGCAGAGACCTCCGTACACAAAGACAGGGCTGCAGACAGGAATGGCACCAGTTACACCGGGGTCACACAGGAGGAAAAGCCCTTTCTGGAATCTAATGCGAAACGGTGTATCAGCCTGTTCTGAACAAATTCAACAAAAGATTGAAACGTCATCCTGTTCTGGTCTGGAGTAAATTAACATTACAGAGCCCTTCTTTCTGCACACATTTCAGGCCTCTTGGAGTTAAATGCTTTCCAGTTAATCCATTATGAGGAAGTACAGGTAAGCCAAATGTGAACCGGGAGAACCCAAGAGCACCGACGCAGAAATACTGGTAAATAAGGTCAGCAGTTCTGGAAGGAATGGGGAGCCCAACTCTCGTCTAGGTTCTACCATGAGCTTACGGAAAGTAGTTCAAGGTATTTTTAGAGAACAAAGTTCGAGACGTGTTTTTAACATGTTTCTCGCTATTAGAACAATCTGACCTACAACAGCCTGGGCACGTTCTCAGGTTCTCCTTCTCCCTTTGTAAGGGTCTTGTCCGAGCCACTGCCAGGCAGTCAGTCACCTGATTTAATGTGGACTGAATTTAGTTAACTGCTGCTTCAAATCGCCAAGGGCTGGTCTCCGTTTTCTCTAAACCAGAAAACACCTGCATCAGTGGAAACTGCTTCAGCACCTGGAACCATCAACTGCTACCTGAAAACATACTGCTCTGTGGCTTCGTTCCCCCACAGCGGATGCGGTCTCCTGGTCCTTCACCTGGGGCAGGAGGGAAAGGACCCGACACCCGCAGGGCACTTGTCCCTTCTCCCTGAACTTTCAATACAAACTTCTGGAGCAGGCGGCTGACATCACTTATATTTTAGTTAAAAGAGGCACGGACACTTACATTTGTCTCCCGGATGTACTGCAAGAAATACACCACAGCCAGCTTGCACAGTGCTAGGAAGACCGGTACCTGCGCGTCTGGGCTGGCTTCGGCCGCCATGTCATAAAAGCGTTTTGCAAGGTGAATATCCTATAATACAGGCAATAAACCAAAATTCACCTCTTGGTAAAATAAGTAAAATAATATTATTTAGCTCATATATTCATATTATATCAGTTTATACACTCAGAACATTGATTTTGCCTTTCAAGTTTTCATTTAAAAATTTCCCTTACTTGAAGGATAAACCCCACCTGTAACTGGGTAATATATAACGGCTTAATTTTTAAGAATCTAACTGAAAAATGTTAAGATTTAACCTCCTGTCTGACATCCCATCTGCTGTGCAGATACGCTGGCTACAGCTGTATACCAATGCATAACACTGTTACTCTGAAGAATCCTGGGGGCGACCTGCAAGTCTCAAGTTCTAGGTCAAGCAAGTTAAGTAAGTTTCTTACTTAAAACTTCAGTGTAAACAATTCCTGGTTTCTCTTTGGAGCAGTGATCCTTAAACTGGGAACACACTCAAAGATTTTTTCAAAGGGCACTTGCATGGATAGTGTTAAAGGACCCACATGCTGGGTTCCCCTGCCTTAGACATATTCCATAAAGGGTGAAACGAGTCCTGATGAATCCGGGCCCAGACTGGAATGCTCTGATTCCGACAAATGCAGAATGGCAGGGAGAGATGCGGTGAAATTTGCATTTAACAACCTCACTTTCTCCATGTCCTGACTACTGTCAAAGAATATCAGACTCCAGGGCAAGAATTCCATGAGACATGATAAAGAAAGACTAAACATTAAAAAGGACTTTCCCACCTAGTTCAGTATAAGCAGTTACTGTCAGCTCTCCCCTATGCTGTCCCTAGGGGGCGTCGTTAGCAAAGAAGAAAGCACTTTCCAACAACAGTATTGGTAGAGTCAGTGTCTTTGAGTTTTTTTAAAAAAGGTAAGAAACGTTTTTTTGGACTACCACATTCTTCAAGATCATGGATCAAACTTTATGTGATAAGATAGACTTTTGTGTGGATGATTCAAAGGGGTAACCACATCTTATCAATCACATCTTGAATTATTTATTCTGTATATAACACCAATCCTCATGTAATCCTTAATATTTTCTAACTGTATTACATGCTGGACTGATTAGTTTTTAGTAGCGCATATGTTTCCTTCTTTGAAAAATGGGAAAAAGTAAGAAAAGGTGATCATGATGTCTTACAAAAACTAATGGAATCATTCTTTTAACACATGACTAATTACTCCTAAAAGCTGTATCCCAGGGTTCTGTCCTCATTCTTGTCAAAGAAATTACCATAGTCTTTATTCGCAAGAATTTATATAAGCTACACATAACATTATATTGCAAATTAAATTATGAGAATGTACACTGATTAATTTTCTTGGTTTTGATCTATTATGAAACAGGCTGTCAGAGTTCTATCACTTTAATTTTGATTGCTTTCAGTACATTATTATGAAGTGTATTCCCAAAAAAACACAGCTTACGCACTATCTTTATATTAGTCATCAGACACACATTGACTTTATTTGCATTAAGAAAATGAAGTCAGACTTGCTGACAGAAGTAAGCCTGATCTGGCTGAGTGGTCTGATATAAAGAGAGGCTCTGGGAACATGGCAAAGATGGTCTGCACACTGACTGCACTCCATCTGCAGTTCCAGAGTCTTGATAAAACTATATTCAAGTATCTAATATTAACATAAATGCAAAATATGAAAATTTACATATTGGGATTAAAATAAAACAAATATTAAAATGTGGTCAAATAAAAGGCACTTTGATAAAAAATAGTGCATTAGCAAAATGAAAATGAGTAACTTGCCCTTAAGCACTTTAGGTCAACAGAGTGTCTCTAAGTGATGAGGTAAGGAATATATTTAGTTATTTGATTAGCCTGGGTAAAGCCTTTCGGCATTCTACCCAAAAACTGAGAAAATGAATGACTCCAGTGACCAGGGAACAAACAAACATACCCTTTGCCAATTCTTTGCTTTCAACAAGACTGAAGGCAGACCTAACCAAGTTGTCAGTGACAGATCATTGAAAATAATTTTAGTGACAGATCGCTCTGACTTTTGGCATATGTTATAGACTAAATGTGCCCCATCCCCCCCCTAAATTTCTATGTGCAAACTCTACTCTCTCTCAAGTGATGGCTAGAACTAGGAAGTGAGGCCTTCGAGAGGTTATTAGGGTTAGACGAGGTTAAAGGGGTAGAGCTTTCATGAACGGGATTAGGGTTCTTCAAAGAATACCTAAGTACTTGCTGCTTCTCTCCTGTTCTTTGCTCAGATGAGGACAAAAGACAGAAGACAGTGGTCTCTGACCAGGAAGTAGGGCCTCCTTGCCAGACACCAAACCTGCTGCCACCCTGAACTTCAACTTCCCAGCCTCCAGAACTGTGAGAAATTCTATTATTTAAGCCACCCTGCCTATGGTACCCCATGTAGCAGCCTGTAGGAGAACAGCATGCAACTCTAAAGCAGTTTAAAGAACTAAGTGAGTGTAGATAGAATAAAATTCTCCCAATTCCATTACTTGTTTATGTGAACAAGGCTCCAGCCATATATTTATAAAAATGAGGGGCGCCTGGGCAGCTCAGTTGGTTAAGTGTCCAACTCTTGAGATCGAGCCCTGTGTTGGGCTTCGTGCTGATGGCATGGAGCCTGCCTGGGGTTCTCTCTCCCCTCTCCCTCTGCTCCTATCCCACTCACAGTCTCTCACACTCACAAAATAAATAAACTTAAAAAAAAAAATTAATTCTATATCTACTCAATGATACTTAAATTAATTTTTACAAGATGCTCCATTCATCTCATTAAAAAATGCATTTTCAGTAATTATCACAGAAAGTAAAATTTTAGTGAAATTCATAGTATTATGTTGACTTGTTCAATACTATATTGATAAATAACCAACTGTGACTAGTATATCATGAATTTTTCATAACACTTAGAGCCTATAATCATAGGAAATAAAATCCAAAATTTGAATTTACATACTTTGTTTCAGGTAAGTAGATTAAGTAATCAGTAAAATATCTAGGCATTAAAAACATTACATTTGTATGCAATCTATGAAAATATGACCTGAAAAAATGAATTCAGGAAGAAAAGCAAAAGATACAATTTTCATTTAATAAATTTGCTGTGTATTTAAACAATGTATAATGAGGATATCAAAATTTTGGTATTTAGTGTAAATTAGTCATTTTATTTTAAAAAAGGTGTTGCCTAAAATAGACAGAACTTAGACCCTTTGAAGCTTATGATGAAAAATTTTAAATGTCAAAGTAAAAATGTGCAGGAGAGGGGCACCTGGGTGGTTCAGTTGGTTGAGTGTCTGAGAGAGAGACACAGAATCCGAAACAGGCTCCAGGCTCTGAGCTAGCTGTCAGCACAGAGCCCGACCCGGGGCTCGAACTCATGAACTGTGAGATCATGACCTGAGCCAAAGTCAGACGCTTAACCGACTGAGCCACCCAGGCGCCCCGAGTGTCCAACTCTTTTTTTTTTTTTTTTTTAATTTTTTAAAAAATGTTTTATTTATTTCTAGAAGAGAGAGAGAGACAGCATGAGCAGGGGAGGGTCAGAGAGAGAGGGAGTCACAGACTGAAACAGGCTCCAGGCTCTGAGCTGGCAGTCAGCACAGAGCCCGATGCCGGGCTCGAACCCACGAACCGCGAGATCATGACCTAAGTGAAAGTTGGACGCTTAACCGACTAAGCCACGCAGGCGCCCCCCGAGTGTCCTACTCTTGATTTCGGTTCAGATCGTGACCCCAGGGTCGTGAGATCGAGCCCTGCATTGGTCTCCACAGGGTGTGGAGCCTGCCTGGGATTTTCTTTCTCTCCCTCTGCCCCTTTACCCCTGTCCGAGCTCACCCTAATTAAAAAGAAAAAGAGAAAATAAACAAATAAACAAATAAAATGTGCAGGACGAAACACAGTTTTTCAAAATATACAGGCAAAAACTTAAGACCGTGGGTCTAAAGAATGTTTGATTCTATTAGGAAGGCTAAGAGTCAGGAATAAGTTTATCAGTAGCAAACATCTTACTTCATTTCAAAGTACTTTAGAAAGAACAGAATTTGGCTGAAGATGGGCAGAGTTTCTCAAATAAGGAGTGACCGATAGAGGCTGCGCCACGTTTCCGTTTCAACGCATCTGTTTTTGGCTCCCTGTCGTAAAACAGCAGGTGCGTGTGACAGAAACACATGTGGGCCCCACAACGGGAGAGAGCACAGGCGGGCTTCTGAAGCATCACAAAACTGCCCCATAACTTAGTACCTGAAATCGGAGGAGCACACTCCAAAGCAAGCCTATTTTCTAGAGGGAAAAATGCAGACATTTCCCCCAAATCACAATTACATCATTCAGACATCTGTTTGGAAGCCAGGCCCACCTGTTTGATGCCCAGTCCTTTCTCGTGCATGTACCCCAGGTTAAACATAGCCTGTGCGCTGTGCTGCTGCTCGGAGGCCAGGCGGTAATGAATGAACGCGGTCTCGTAGTCCACGTCGGTGCCAAACCCATAGAAGTGGTAGTCTCCGAGCTTAATTCTAGCCACTGTATAGCCTTAAACAGAAATTAAATCAAAACTGCCAATAAATAAAGTGTGTTTAAAACAGAAAAAAATTGTTATTTCTCCTTCTGTTAACATGCTTACAGAAGACAGAATTTTAGGTTGTAGTGCATAAACTTCATAACAAATCCTTCAGTCAAGCTATAAATTCAATAAAGACTGAAACTCGAGGCATTGCTCTTCTGAAGCAGGTTTTGCAACAGAGACAGGTCAACAAGGTGGGTGCTGCTCCCCATGTCACAATGGGACTCTTCAAACAAGCACCTTCTGGTCTATCATGCCATTTACATTTTCTTTTCTTTTTCTAATTTAAATTCTAGTTAGTTAACATACAGTGCAATATTGGTTTTAGGAGCAGAATTCAGTGATTCATCATATACAACACCCAGTGCTCATCATAACAAGTGCCCTCTTTAATGCCCACCCCCCATCTAGCCTATCCCCCACCCACCTGCCTCCACCAACCCTCAGTTTGTTCTCTATCACTAGCAGTCTCTTGTGGTTTGTTTCCTTCTCTTCTCTTTGTCCCCAATTCCCATAAATTCTGTTTTGTTTCTTAAATTCCACACGAGTGAAATCATACGGTATTTATCTTTCTCTGACTTATTTTGCTTAGCTTAATGCATTCTAGCTCCAGCTACATCACTGCAAATGGCAAGATTTCTTTTTTTTTTTTGATGGCTAATATTCTGCTGTTTACATTTTAAAGTAGTTCAACTGGACTATTGTTTAGGTTTGAAGAAGGGATAGCTAGGCACTGTTGAGAGGAGTATGTGTGAGAAGAAAATAGTCAAACCAAAAAAGGTGGGTAAAGGTTAAAATCCTTTTGTGTTTTAGAGTTATATTTTATTATACGTTCCATGTGATTCACTGTATCCAATATAACTGGCTTCAAACTAAATACCAAAGAGTAAACCATAACATGATATAAATGACCAATCACAATTCAATTTAGAAACCCTGCGACCAGAATTTCCCCTTTTTTTAAATTTCCCCCTTTTTTTAAAATAGTTTGTCAAGTCGGTTTCCATATAACACTCAGTGCTCATCCCCACAAGTGCCCTCCTCCATGCCCATTACCTCCCTTCCCCTCCTCCCCACCCCCATCAGCCCTCAGTTTGTTCTCAGCATTGAAGAGTCTTTCATGGTTTGCCTCCCTCCTTCTCCCCCATTATTTTTCCCTTCTTCTCCCCCATGGTCCCCCGTTAAGTTCCTCCTAATCCTCCTATATGTGCAAACATATGGTATCTGTCCTTCTCTGCCTGACTTATTCCCCTCAGCATAACATCCCCAAGTTCCACCCATGTTGCTACACATGGCCAGATTTCCAGAGTTTCCCTTTTAAGAGTAGATAAATCATGATGCAAGTTAGGCAACAATTAGTATGCTGATGCATGACATTATTTTAATTTTTGTGAGAGACTCAAAACAAAAACAGTACAGAAAGATCCCTGGGTGTAGCTCTTGGCCTAGAATGAGCGGCTACTCACCTTGGGAGGCAGCCCTGTTCCAGTGCAGCAAAGCTCTGGGGTAAGTTTCATTCTCGCCTACAATGGTCGCTTCTCCTTCAAGGAAGATGAAATAAATACAACTCAGGCATTTAAGGAAAGGCACTAGACTTTTAGGCCTCATTTACATGCTAGGGTGGATATGTGGAGCATAACTGAGACGTAACAAGTATTAAATGACAAAAGTATTGTATTGAAATTAAACAAGTATTAGAAAGAAACACTGAGTTCAAAGGAATCACTGCATAGAGGACACTATTTTCTGCAATGTGTTTTATCCACAGAACTACTATGGAGAGTAATTACGGAGCCACACACCTGGGATCTGCACACCCCTGGAAAAACGAGGTTCTTCTATCTGCTGTAGTTTGAAAAATGTGTTTACTAAAAGCGGTTAATTTTGTGACAAATGGCAAATTGATTTCTACTGTCAACTCTAATTGCAAACCTAACTTGGATGGCTTAGGGAGCTGAGGTAAAGTACTCATGCAGGTGTGTTGTTAAGGTCTATTTACAACAATAAAGAAGTTTCTTTGTGGCTTTTCTATTTAAAACAAAAATGAACTACCTGATGTGAGCCTTCGTATTCTAAACCCAGGGCAGGACGAAAGTGAACCTTACTCTGATCGAGAATGAAGGCTGCATTGCTCTGCGCCACTTCATAGCCCTGTTCGGCCAGCAGGAGGTACTGGATCACTGCGGCGTTGTAGTCGCCGTCTTTGTAGCTGTTATAGGCAGTCATTAGCCTCTCGGACCAACGACCTCGTTCACACACATTCTTAAATAACTGTGAGAGCAGAAAAAAACAAAAACAATAAACACAAAAACCCCCAGTAATAAAATAAGGAACATATGCCAGGATATCATGTTTGCACTTTGGCTACAAGTGATTATTAAGCTATCTCTTTGAATCTCTGATAACTTTACTAAATATATATAAAAGTCTGGGATATTTATTTGAAGCTTTCAGTTAGTCTTTAGAGCAGGTTTATAAAAACAACAGTAACAGTTGTATACCATTAGCCCCGCCAGACACCGTTCTTGGGCTCTATGTACAGTGTGTGCGGAAACTCCCTTACAGCTCCCCTGAGGTTCATGGGGGGCATTTTACAAAGCAAATCCTATGAATAGCCTCATTTTACATCTGAGGAAACTGAAGCACAGAGAGGTTTAGAAACTGTGCTAAGCACTTATCAAATGCCACTCTGCGGTGTCAGTTATGAGAGCACTGAAGAGGAAAAGTTCCATTCAGGAGACATCAGCATTGCCCACTGCAACATTCGCTCAACACAGACTTTTTGGTGCTGTCTCCGATTCTGTCTAGGTGCTCGAGGGACTGCAGACACCACCACCTGTCCTTACAAACGTGGGGACGCAAATGAAATAGCGTGAGGATGACACACAGGCCCTCAGCATCTTCCCTCCGTGTATCCAAGCTACTAGGTCGAGTCTCTTTCTCCTCTAGAAGAAGCACGCAGAGAAAACGAGAGACGCTCCTCCTGGGAAAGGAGGTTGCCGTGCACAAGCTGCCGGAGCAGCCCTTACCTCCACCGCAGTGTGGCACGACCGCATCACGCCTGTGCCGCTGGCATGCATCTGCGCGAGGTTGTAGAAAGCCAAGATGTGGCCTCCCTGAGAAGCTAAATTAAAATACTTCAAGGCCTGCTTATAATCCCTCTTGACGCCAATGCCATCTGTAAGGAAAATCACATGAAAGGTCAGAAATAGTCCTATTTAAGATTTAACAGAAGCACCAGAGCAGCCTTACATAAGGAGTAAAATCAAGTGAAATTCAAAATTCTTACTCAGGAAAGATGTGAACCTTAACAATACAGATTTGTATATTAATACAGATTCACCTAATTCACAATGAAAAACAAGATGCACAGAGTATTGAAGTGGGACAACATTAATCAGCCCGATTTCCACATCATAGTGGCATCTAATGGAAAATAGGCAATTTAAACGTCGGTGGACACAACATTTAACTGCAACATACTTACTGTAGTACATAGAGCCAAGCTGCAGCTGCCCGTCCACCCAGCCTTGTTCAGCAGCCTTCTGGAAATACTTTAGTGCCAGATCATAATTCTGTAGGAAAAGGGGTCACATGATCACATGATGCGAAAGCTCAGAAGGCTGATATACTTAGATTCATTTATTAAAAAGAGTTAATAAAAAACATACAGAGAGGATTTCACCCAGGCTGGAAGCTAGTTATACTTCCCTAACTCACCAGCTGACCGCCTGTTTAAGTCAGAATGTTGGACTGAAAACTTACAACTTGAACGCCTCGCCCGTAGAGGTAGGCCATTCCGAGTCCACTCTGCCCCACGGGGTTGCCCTGCAAACCAGACACAAGAGAGTGAATAGATTCATTAAAAAACAAAACAAAACAAAACAAAACACAGGCAAGAATAAATGACTGCAAAAGAAATAATTTACAAGCATGTTCAAAAAATGTCTCTGCATTTTCAATCAAAATTCTCCTTCCCATTAGGCTAAATGTAATGCTGACTTTTAGAGATTTGGGAGTCCAATAATTTGCTGAAAAAGAGCAAATAGTAAATGTATCTAGAATTAAATTTTGGTGGCTTATGACCATCTGTTCCATGAGTTTATGATAGAAAACATGATTAACGTATTTCTTTTTAATTAAAAGTAGGTCACTATTTTTGGTAGTTTTTCATTGGTAACCGCCCTCCCCAGTAAAGAAGGAAGACGCTGTGGTGTCACGTCAACAACCATGTAAAACAGCAACACTGGGATCAGGTGGCAAAGATACGCTAAAGATGACTGGAGTCTCACAGAACAAAGATAATCATTGTTTTGAGACCTGAAAGAGAAAAATCTAAAATTCAGCCTAAACTAATAGGGACAGAGGCATCTGTTAAAAAGTGTCACAGCAGTGCTTTGGGAAATACTCAACTGACATTTAGAACTAAAGTAACACGTAGTTGGCAAGGAGATAAGCACACACACTGGACGCATACGGGGTCTTAAAAATTCATATGTAGTTTTCTCGGGGCCAAAGAAAGCCCAAATTATGTATTTATGATTGTTGAAAGTACCTAGTTGTGTGTTTCAAACCTCAAGTTGTAATACAAATAGGGTAAATTATATGACTTTCAGTTGCATTACTAAAATCAGTATTTTCCTGATCAGGAAACTTCTCAATGAAATGCAAACAGAGGCTTAATATTCAATAACTTGGTCCTCTCCATGCCTCCCCCCCATAAATTGCTTTTTTGGGGGGAAGTTTTTTCTAGCCAATCCATTCACAGAAATCACATTTACACAGGTGCTTTCAATAATTTGAGGCATGAGTTGGGTATAACTAATCCTTCAGTATAATAAACTTCTTAAAGTAATAATATGGCACACATTTCAACAGATTAAGTCATGAGATCTTACCATGTCAGCAGCTTTCTTAAAGTAGTGAAGAGCTGTCTCATTACTCTGTGGGACAATATCACTTCCCTCTGAATACATCTACAAAACAAAGCCTAATTTTATTAAGTTACAACCCTCTCTCCTATAATGGTTTCAAGCTCATCTTATTCTGGTTTTTGAGAGGGATCACAAAGTATTTCAACAAAGTTTAAAATTCTCCAAAGGACATTTTAGAATTAAAAGCAAAGCATTAAAAGTAAACATTTTAAAATTATATACTGTCATATAAATATGAATTCTCTATAAACATGAATACATTAAAATCAGCTCATGGATCAATCTCAGGAGGGGAAATCAAACTCAAGGTAAATCTTTACTCTCACTCTATCCCAAGGCAGTCAAATGGTTGTTAATTGCTTGGGATCAGTGATTAAAGGAGAAAAAGGAGTGCTATTAGCAATATCTGCTTCCATTTCTCTTCCACCGCTTTTCTCCGCAGGGTAAGATAATGGGTAGGTCTTAAGTTCAGGAAAAGAAAGAACTAAAAGATTTAAAAGGTTTCAAACACTGAATGATCAGAGTACCAGGAATGGAAAATGATGAAAGGGCCAAGAGATAGAAGAACAGAAGATTAATGCTTAAGCAAAAATACATGGGCAATACCAAATTCTATGTTACAATAGATGGGGTGTCTAAACGTAAAGTTCTCAGGCCCTGAATGACTCATTGCAATTATGTGGCAAACACTGCTGAGATTTTTCTATTTGCAAGAACGTCTGTGACATATTTATTCTATTGGAGCATCCTAACCTTAGGATTGGGTGATAGATGAAAATACCCATTGGTTTATACTGTATTTGTTTTCAAAATAATGAAAAAGGAAGTTTTAAGACTGTGCCACGTCCTGTGGAATCTATTCATTAGATTTCTAGGCTTCAGTGGTCCCTTGCTTGGAACAATAACCATGCTGGGAGGTGGGTGATGGCACTCACACTGAAGGTAAGCAAAAGGTCTGCAGACAAAGTTCAACAAACTCGAGTTGCTTCTATTCGGCATGGAAGAAACCAGGCAATTATGACAGACTGAGCCAAAAACCACACAGCATAAAGAATAAATTCTTCATTATTGCGTATTCACTGACTCACAGAAAGCAAGACCTCAGTGACAGCTTATTTCACAAGAGAATTCACATACTGATGAGGAAACACTGCTTCCCTTATGTTACCTAAGAAAATCCCTCAAAACAGCACTTACTTTGCCATAAGACACAAGGTCCTTGTATTGGAAACTTCATTTCCACTTTATCTTTGGCAAACTGTAGATCCTAACCACAACATGTGCTTATTATGCAAACAACTCTTGCTATTACGTAGTCTGTTCACAAGACGTACAGTACCTTTCCCAAGAAGGCCATAGCGTGTGAATTGCCAGCATTGGCTGCTAAATTGAAGTAGTCAAATGCTCTCTGTGAGAAAAGAATTTATTAAGATAGTTAGTTTTTATACAAGCTATCTGCCTTTGGTGTTTAACCAAAATAATTATCTCAGGATCATCTAAAAAATCTGGTAACATTGCAGTTATCTCAGTTTAAGTAAATAGCAACATGACATCTCTTGGCTGCTTAAGGTACCCACGCCCCTTGAATCTCATATCCGATCCTTCACAGAGTCCTGTAACTTTCACCAGGAAATTCCTCTTGAATCCACCTACAGTCACCCACTACCACCATTCTAGGCTAAGGTACACTATCTGGCCCCTGAACTTCTGGACCACTCCCTTCCTTGATCTCCCAGCTTTTATTCTTGGGTCACTCAAAGCAGCAGTTCAAAAAACTCAACATGCTGGTCCTTACAGCCCCTGGCAGTCTGCAGGGGACACAGATGTGATCAGACATTGCTGATCTCAGTAGTGCTTCAGTTTGCTCTCTGTACTCTGGTCCTTCCTGCCTCAGGACCTATACACATACTGTTGTTTTTGGACTGGAATGATCTTACTTCCAGGTTCAACTTAAATGTCATCCATTTCTCCTCAGAAACAATTGCCACCTCCCACTTATGAACCTATTACTGGACCCTTCCATTCTCCTTAGTAACAACAATCACTATTACATATTTGTTAGTATGACCATTTAAAAAATATTTAATGTCCTAGTTCTATTAAACTTGAAGCTCTGTCAGGACAAAAACATCAAAGCTATTTTGTCTGGCATTGCATCCTGAATGCCCAGTAGTGAATAGGCACTTAGCAGGTATTCAAATATTTGCTGAGTTAATGCAAATATGTACTGGGAACTCAATTTATTTCTTCTGTGAAGCTGGTGAAAAAACTGATCTCTGTGTGGATGTTTCACAAGTAGGCAGTACTTGTATGAAAGGTATGCAGCAAACTCATCATCCAGAGTTCTGTACCTGACATTTTTATTAATTGATTCATCTGGCCTAATGATATATATTTTAATGACCTACAGAAAATGAAAGCTGTCAAAATGTTGTTTGAATAAAATAGCATGGATATCTGGTATAGTTTTAAGTATACTCTGTTATGATCTAATTCTTAAATTTGATGGGATATGGGAATGAAATAACCTTAATTAGAATATTTAACTGTTATGGCAGAATAACAGTTTTATTAGTCTGACAAACATCTATCAAGAACTATGTGCTAGGCATTGTCAGGTGCTGGGAATAAAGTGGCAAAGTCCATGCTCTTTTGCAACTTAAGTTCTAGCAGAGGAAACAATTTAATTACATAATTAACAAATTTACAATGGGAAAGGGTTATAAATACAGATTTTCAGAAATTGTAACTGTACACCATTTATTCCTGGAGTGGGGTGAGGGGTCCAGGGAGATATTTTGGGTAAGAGATACTGGAGTTGAATTCTGCAGGCTAAGCAGGAATTAGCTATATAAAGAATAGAAGTGGGATAATATTCACTCTAGACACAGGGACTAGTATTCCAGAAATCTGGAGGTAGGGAGGTTCTTGATATTTTCAAAGACCTGAAAAAAGGTCCATGTGCCTGTGACTCAGGTTTCGGTTTTTAAGTCACTGGAAAGTGTGGGTCACTCAAGAGTTTTAAGCAAGGGAACCACAGGTTCAGGTGTGTGGTTTACAAAGGCAGGCTACTGCTTAGCAAATGCAAGCAGGCGATGATTCACACAAGTGGTAGGTATACTTATGGAAGGGAAGAGAGGAGTCAGATTTTGGGCACCGAGCAGACAAAACTTGGTAACTGGATATGGATTTGACTGCTATAGTCATATACTCCTTACTTTTCACAAATTCAACAATGACTTTTCCTCAGTTCTATGAAATATTTTCTTTTATTTCTTTAATGTTTGTTTATTTTTGAGAGAGAGAGAGAGATAGAGTGCAAGAGGGAAAGATGCAGAGAGGGAAACACAGAATCTGAAGCAGGCGCCAGGCTCTGAGCTGTCAGCACAAAGCTCAATGTGGGCCTTGGACTCAAGAACTGTGAGATCATGACTTGAGACAAAGTTGGATGCTTAACAGACTGAGCTGCTGAGATACCCCTGAAATATTTTCTAATGGGAGTTTTAAGACACACTTCTGTCACATACTGTAGGAACCCAAGACACTGTGTATGTATGTTTGGCAGTACTGAGAACTAGGTTTCAGAATTAAAGAGGTCTTTCCCACCACTATGAGGTATAATCACATTTTTAACCTTCAGCTTTCTCAGGGGTTAGCTGGATCTTGAAAGATCTTTTGTGAAGACTGTCTAAATAACACAAACTTGATAATGTCACTGACTGACAAGAAATACATCTGGGGTATCAGTTCCGTCTACGACATAAAGAGCAAAGCCCTGGGAACAGGACAGTTACCTGATGATTTTGTTCTACTCCACGGCCTCCGTGCAGATGCAGTTGTCCCAGACCAACCTGCAAATTAACAAAAGTGAGCAGAAGTAAATGGTAGCATCTGGCGTGTAATCACAATTACAAAAAGGTTTCTGTTCATAATTCAAAAATTTAAAGACTTAGTCTTAACTCTTAAGATATTACTCTACTTTAACCTCATTTTTTAAAAACTGAAAATGCCTGCTTTTAATTAAAGGCATCTTTCTGAAATCAAGGCATTTGTAGGCAAACTAAAACTGAACTTGTCACCAGTGAACCTACTCTAAAGGAAATGCTAATGGATCTGCTTTAGGAGGTAGAAAATTTATCCTGGGAAGCCTAAAGATGCAGTAAGAAATAAAGAGCAATGGAAAGTTAAATTTGTGAATAAATCTAAATGATATGGACTGTATAAAATTGTATCTTGTAGGATTCAAAAATATACAGAATTAAAACGTATAGAATACTCTATAAAGTTTCCACTGTCCAATAAATGGTAAAAAAAAAAAAAGTGCTCATTCATACTAGACTTTGAAAAAAGAACAGTAGAACAAAGTCCATCTATCATGTTAGTAGAGGCAGGGGAGATGCAATAGCAAAAACACTCAAACCAAAAGAAGAGAGGAGATATAAAGAAGCATGGAAAAGCAAAACGAAAGGAAGTAAGATAGAAAATTTAAACCCAAATATATCACAAACTACTTTCAACTAAAACACGGTCAGACGGATAAAAATATAAAAAAGACTACTTTATATATATGACTACATATGACTATATGATGCTTCCAAGAGACATATCTTAAACATAAGAGGTTGAATACAAAGAACAGGAAAGATACTTCATATAAATACTAACCCCAAAAAAGTGGCATGGGTAGTAGCAGGCAGAGTACAAAAGCAAAAAACATTTCTGGACCTAAATGAGGACATTTTGTGATATACAAGCTAGTTTAACAAAAAGATAACAATATTAAGTCTAAATGCACTCCAGCTGGCCTAAAAGATATAAATCCAAATTGACAGAACTAGAAGAAGAGAGACAAATCCACACCAAAGTGGGAAATGTAAACAATGCTGTCTCAGCACTAGACAGAAAAAGCAAATTCAGTAAGGATTCATGAGGTTTGAACAACAGCATTAAGAAACATGACTCAATTGATACATAAAGAACACTATACCCAAAGACTGGAAAATTCATATTCCTTTCAGCACACAATATTTACCTAAACTGATCAAGTGACAGACCTTAAAGCAAGTCTCAGGACATCTCAAACAACTGAAATCATACAGAGCATATTCTGACCATGATGATTAAGCCAGAACTCAACAAAAAAGTAGAAAATCCCCATTTATATGAAAACTAAGCAATTCACTTCTACATTTACACATGGGTCACAAGAAACCATAATGAAAATTAGAGCTAAATATAATGAGAAAATGACAGTGGGAGAATGTATTCTACCAGGTATCAAGATCCATTAAAGCTGTAGAAATTTGAGACACGCAAGAGAGTATGCACAGAGCATTATTTGCAATAGCCCAAATCTGGGGAAGAGTAAAGTGGGTAGGTAAATTGTGGGATTTTATACAATGAAATACCACAGGGCAACATAAATGAATGAATTACAGCTATAAGAAAACACATGGATTGATTTCATAAACAATGCTGAGCAAAACAAGCAGATACCAAAAAATGTGTCAGATTTTTACAAAATTTGTTTATTTTTGACATAAAACCAATCCATAGTGTTAGAAGTCAGTTCAGTGGGTTACCCCTGGGGGTGGGGGGCTCTGGGATGCTAGCTGTGCTACATAGGAGGCTCACTTGGTGATAATTCGGGGGGTCGTATGCTTCAGATTTATGTACTTTTCTATATTAAGGTCATAATTTGAGTAGTAAAAAGAAAAAAATGATACATAATACCACACATGGGTTTTTTTTTTCACTTGAGTTTTCCACTGAATATGCTGAAGTATTCTACATAGTTTTTGATGGCTGCATAGAATTCCATTACGTGGAAGTGTCATATTTGAAATAAATAGTTCTGTTTTGAAGCATTTAGATGGTTTTGGATTTTAACTGGCTTCTGATCTAAAAGAAAGATGTTTAATTAGACAAGATAACTTTATTATAATTTCCATGAGCTAAGATTTAGATCTTCCACTGCGGGTTTTAAATTTTTAAAATGTTTAATGTTTATTTTTGAAAGAGAGAGAGAAAGAGCAAGGGAAGGGCAGAGAGAGACGAGGACAGAGAACCTGAAGTGGGCTCTGTGCTGACAGCAGAGCACTGAATGCTGGGCCTGAACTTTGAAACCGTGAGATCATGACCTGAGCAGAAGCTGGGACACTTAACCAACAGAGCCACCCAGGTGCCCCAGTTTTTATTTATTTTTTTCAAATGTAAGATTTCCTTCTGTTAAGTCTTAATATTAACTCCTCTCAAAAAGTATCTAATATTTCCCTCTCTAAATTTCTAAATCAGAAAAGATCTGTTAAATTTCATAGAAGAAAACAGGCAGGTGTTGAAGTTCTCCTTTTTGTTTTAGGATTATCAAATTATCCATGAAATAACAAATTATACATGGTGCTTTGATGGGTATATTGTATAATTTACATTGAACTGGGCTACTTCTGTTGCTGACCTTGAGGAAATTACAGTCTAAGACAAGCAAAGAAAACATGAACAGTAAGTGGCTCTGAAGGGCATCTGAAATTACAAATGTTCCAGAGACATTCTGTTTAAAGAAAGTAGTTTTCATCCTTGGTGACTCCAATGAGAGCCTCATCATCTGTAAAACTCTGCTCTATTCAAACAGTGGTTTTCAATCCTGGTGCAATCGCCTGGCCAGCTAGGAACACGTGCCTAGGCAACATCCCAGATGAATCCTAATGGAAGTTTTTTGTTTTGTTTTTAAGTTTATTTTAGAGAGAGAGTGAGCACACAGGACAAGATCAGAGAGGAGAGACAGAATCCCTAGTAGGCTCCATGCTTAGCACAGAGCCTGATGAGGGGCTTGAACTCATGAAATGTGAGATCATGACCTGAGGTGAGACAAAGAGTTGGATGCTTAACTGACTGTACCACCCAGGTGCCCCCCAAATGGAAAGGTCTTGAGAGTGTGGGACTCCTGGTAACTTAAAAAAAAAAAAAAAAGAAAAAAAGCAGCTCCTCAGGTGATTCTAATACGTAGTTAGCAACTGCTCAGAGCAATGAAAATGTTTCTAATAGATGCTAAGTGTTTTCCCTGAGATTGTAGTATAAAACGCAGTAAGATGTACCGTGAGATGTTTAAACACATACCTGTGCTTGTACATCACCTTTTTCAGCTAGGAACTGGTAATACTGAATCAGATCTTCTTCCAGCATTCCACTGTTCATTCCTGGATTTTCCACCTCGTCAGGCAGCCGTATTCTCTGTACTACTGAGCCTCCTGTCAGGGAGATGTCACTAGCAACTGAAACGAGGGGACGAAGTAATAACATGGAGGAAGGTCAGAAGGACTGCTCCACAGAAAGAAGTATCATTTCAGCTGCCAAATGTTGACAGACACTATGCAAATAGTAATCTACAGATTACAAAACAGTAGTCTACACAAGCCTAGTCTTTTCTACAACATATTTAAGTGGAACCCAAAGCACGTATGCACATATACACACGAGTTCTTAGTCAACTAGCATAAAGACTGTCCCACTTAGGAGAGTCAGTCATGATCATTTCAAGTAGTCCAACAAAAACAGATGTATTTAAAGTTAAATCCATTTTGGATTTTGTTTCTTTTGATAAGGTAAAAGGCAAAAAAAAAAAGTAGGTACCATGATTGGCAACAAGACGATAGTGAGTCAGGGCCGATTCACAGCTCTGGAGGACTCCGATGCCGGCCCAGTACCGGTAACCCTGCGAGACAATCTCTGGTGAGAAGCCTGCGGTTTCATCGGCGCTCTCGTTGTAACAAAGAAAGCCACCCACACTCAGGATGTAATTCTGTGATCCCCTGATCCCAGTACCTCACCACATCATTTATCCTGAGTTTTCAGGTCAGCAATTCCAACAACCAGACTATAGCTGAGCACTAGGAAATAATGAAGTTCCCACAGAAATCAAATCAGATGCTGTGAACTTTATGCATGAGCTCTGCGTATCTAACATGTGAGAGAAAATTACTTTGGCTCTTGCTTAGAACACATTCTAATCTTATTTTAGACAGGATTTTAACCAAAAAAGGGGTTGATTTACCAAAGCAGCAAAGAAGGAACAATTAGCAAAACAGGGAAGACAAAAGGCTACTGGAGGCAGGTACAATACCACCAGCAAAAAATGACTGCAGGAGGGGAAAGTAAAGGCTCGAGTCATTTAGCACAGACTCAACTTTACAAACTTAGGGCATTGTTGTATAATAATGTGTAAAATATTTAATGTTTTCATCCTTAGGGCATTACTGTATAGTAATGTGTATAATATTTAATGTTTTTATCTTTAGGGCGTTACTGTATAATAATGTATGTAATATTTAATATTTTCATCCTGTAACCACTATTTAAGAAGATTGGCAAATAAAAAAACATACCTGTCAAAAATATTTAACATGCTTTTGCTACACAAAAATAGTCTTCAAATTTCTGGAAAATTAATCTAAATGGAACTTTTCAATTACTGTTTGAGGAATAAATGTTACCATAGATGAAAAAAATCAATGGAAAAAAAGCTCCAGAGTTAGTGAGGAATGTTTCAGAAAGCCAGAATAAGCAATAAGCCCCTGTGGCTTCAACTACCTTAGCAGTTTGCGTGTGTCGCAGACAAGGTCTGAGCTCCGTGGCAGGATGCAGAGCCCCCTAACATGATTCCTGGTGCTGTTCCCGGCATTCTGCTCTCCAGCCACCGAAAAACCTTGTATATTCTTGCAAGCACCATGTTTCCTGTCACTATTCCTCTCTATACATCGCTCCTGCTGTCTGGACGCCCTTCTGCTTCTATTCACTTACTACTATTTATCCCTCAAAAATTACTTTAGTTGTTTCTTTCCTCAAGTATCTCCTTTAATTTCTCCTTCTGACGCCAGTGCGGCAAGTGCCTGTCTAGGTGATTCCTGTACTGTAATGATCTCCTTCCTTGTGTGAATATCAATGTAAAACAAATCAATTTTCAATGTAAAAATCAACTCAAATGTAAAATCTGAAACCTCAACCTAGGAAATGATTCTGACAAATAATCCCAACTTCCTGAAAATAAAAAAAAAAAAGAGCCATTTAACAGATCTCTATTTTAAGGGCAATCAGCCAAACTAATCATTTTAAAGAAAACTGTGGACTCTACAAATTTTCATCCACATGTAGATGCAAGTGTTATATCCATTAATAAGAATTTAAAGGATGTTCAACTGAATATTTGATCTGAATGAATATAAGCAGTTCTTGTTCATGAAAGCTAGAAAAGTTATGGCCCCTCAGAAACCAAAACTTCTGCTACTCAACGTTTCTAAGTCTTCCCCTGAAATCTTACTTACCAAAACCATGTGTGCTATCAGGTTACCCCCGAGTGCTCCAAAAGTGTAATACACTAGGGCCTGTGAAAGAATAAAAGACACTTAACTGATCATAGGCACACTGACCCCATTCAAATGGTAGCATGCGATAAAGTTTTAATATTATTACCTTTGCCTGACTTGAATTGACACCAAGTCCAGAGGCATAGAGAAAGCCAAGAGCCTGAAATAAAATGATAAAAGTAAGAATTCCTCCCGAGTGGTGGTTTATCCAGCAGAGACATAGTTTTATGAACTATGAAAAGATGCAACAATCTTTAGATGCTTAAAGACTTGAACCACCTAAGTATGCACAACTGTGGAACTAAAAAGAAGTGCATTCAAGGTTTTACACAATGAAATACAAAATCAAACAAATCAAAACATTTACCTTGAAGATTAAAGACAACTTAATAAAATATTAACTAGAAAAACAAAGCTGAACACACTTAAACATGGCTTTTGCTTTATCTTGATGGATATTTTGAGAACCAAAGAACCCCTATAATGATATAATGATCAACACATTACCTGGCAAAAGAGAACACACAATGAAAATGGTAAGAGACTACCAAGGGAAACTATCCTAGAAATGAAAAGGGGCAGTAAGGGTCAAGTTAAAGGGGTCAACAGAGAAAGGTCACTTTACAGTGCTAAAGCACACACACTTTTTCATAAAAACAACAACAACAAAAAAAACCCAAAACAAAAAAACTCCAACCAACCAAAAAATGCACTGATAAGGTTCTAACCTTTGCCTTCTGAGGACCATCCTTGATGAATATGAGAGTGTAAGCTAAAGTTAGAAAGGCAGGTATGTCACGTGCCAGTGCTCATCAAAATCCATGAGCTCTCTTTCTCTTACATTTCTCAGCCTTCCTTGTACTTGGGTAGGGCCACGTGTCTAGGATGCGGTAAAGAGATGTGAACCATTTTTAGGCGGGGCCATTAAAAACTTTCCAGAGAATCCTCCAGCTCTCACTTCTCCTTTTATGATGGCTCAAAAGCCCCATGTTCCAGACAGTGCATCTATGTGGCAGAAGCAGCCCTTGACTGAGTCATCATCTGGAAGACAGGACGCAGGCAGGGGAACTGCACCGACCCCGGTGTGAACAAGGAGTAGCTAGCTCTCTGTTGTGCTGACCACTGTGATCTGGGGGCTGTGCCTGTTACATCAGCTAGAATTAATTACCACAGACAGAGTGCTTTGCAATGTATAGTGTGAAGCACCGTGACATTGTAAGGTGCTATTATAGAGGGAAAAGATGCCTTACAAGTAAAACCATACTTCAGAGCCAAATGTGTCTGCTGGTATGTGTGAATTTTACACAAAGAAGGGAAAAAAAGCTTTGAAAACAAAGGAGGAGCAATTAAGATATAACCTGCTTATAAATGAAACCAAGACTGTGTAAGAGCTGCAGACTGGTTAGGTATTCGGTCCTATAGAAAACAATGGTCACAATTCCTGTTATTGTTGAAACAATCTGAAAACAGACCTCCTCTAACTGTGACTAGAAATTTTATGTTTAAGCATATCCCACACCTTCAACAAACCTGAATTATTGAGAGCATTTAAAAGACATGGGGTGGCCCCCTAAAGCCATCTGTCAATCTTACTATTACCAAGGGGAATCCAGCAGGTAATGTGTGCCAACTGGTGTGATGCAGTATGGGATACAGAACACCCCCCCATACGGCGGTCTGGGCCCAAAGTATTTTCCTTGCATTCATCAACCTTGAGCTGTGACATCCTCTGTAGGAAACCCAGATGATGAAGAATAAACTAAAGGGCACAAGGAAGAAGGAAACAGACAAAATGAAGTAGGCCATTCTGCAGAGGCCCTATCTCTGACACAGATAAGAAAGAAAGGTAGGGACTATGCTAGGAATAATAACCAAATATAAGGTGTAGGCCTAGACTGGATGCTGCTTTGGACACAAGAGGTATGAAGAACATGTTCTGGTTCAACACCCTATGAATACTGTGTGGGTATTACATTAACTGGAGTGGAACAGTGAGGGCTATTCACTGGAAGAGCAAGTAATGGACCAGGAGACAGTGACATTTCATTGTAATAAAAAATTCACAAGTATAAATACACAAAGAAAAGGTCAAGAAGGGTGCACATGCACTAACACGTTACCAATGTTCAGGTCTGGGTGGTACAGGTAAGATGTTTACTTTCTTAGTTTTTTTAGTTATTTCTAGTTTCCTATAATGAACATGTACTGCTCCTGTAATAAAATATATTTTTTTAGAAAACCACCCAGATTACCAAAAGCTGCAGCATCTGAACTTTGGAAAAAGGGCAATGGGGAGTGATTTCACATAAAAAATAATTACCTTTAGGTTTCACTCTTTACAGACTGAATTTGGAAAACTACAAATACAATTGTGGTAAGATGCAACCGCAAGAGCGCCGTAGGTGACCAGTGTTCTCAGACTAAGGAAGAGGATTGTCCAAGAGGACTGGTAAAATGATCTGCTGCAAAATCAGTATTTAAAGATATTTTACCTCCCAGCCATCCTTACTAAAGGAAGGCCGAGCACAAAGAGTAAGCTGCTGTGACAATAAACAAGTGCTGTGTGCCAAGGCCATGCCATGGAAGTACACTTACAGTCTGTCCCTTAGGAGAGCCTTCCTCGGTCAGTTTCTCAAACATCTCTTTAGCTGCCTGGATATTCTGGGTCAGGTAATCGCCAAACAAAAGAGCATATGACACTCTCTCCAGGGCCTTGGTATGGTTCATGCCTGCTGCCTTTTGAAGATACCGATATGCTCTTTAAACATAAGCAATTAACAAAACAAAACAAAACAAATTAGCAATATTTTGGAACTGCCAATAAAACATCTTGTTTTTACAAAATCTGGGGCACCTGGCTGCCTCAGTCAGAAAAGTGTGGAACTCTTGATCTGGGGGTTCTGTGTTCAAGTTCCAGATTGGGTGTCGAGATTACTAAAATAAAAACAAACTTGAAAGTTTCTGTTTTTGTTTTTTTTACAAAATCTAAAATGCAGAAAAATTAATTTCCCTGTTCTATAGAATCCTTTCGATGTTTGACTTCTACTAAATTGTGTTACTTATATATGTAGAAAGCATTCTGGCTACTTTTGTTTTATATAAGGTACCAGTGCTGTTATTCCAATATTTTAAAACAGTCTAATTCTAAAAACTTGTAGTAAAAAAAGTTATCTAGATTAGCAGTGAGAGGATTATAATAACGTGGTACCCAATAAATAATCCAACAACAACCATGGCAATTTCCTTTTAAAATCTTTGCACAGACTATAACAAAAGTCAGCTGAAAGTAAGGCACATAAAATGTTGGAAGACAGTCAACTTATTTTATATTCTTTCCAAATTCCTGTCTTTGTTTGCTAGACTAAGACTGTTGCTCTATATTCTAATATTTCATATTATCTAATATAATGAATCTATTCATTAGAATATATTTCATATATTCTAACATTTCATATTAGGTTTTCTTATAGTACAACTTAAGAAATCCTGTGTTCTGCAGTACACTTCAAAAAGAAAAAAAATACTGTACTTTAGCTTTTTATCTCCATAATGGCCTGTATGAGGGGAGGAAAGGACTTGGTAGTGCTACCTACTCTCGTTTTTGGCTTTTCTTATTGCTTCCATTGAGGATTTTCATCCCAGTCTGGTACATCATTTCTGCTTCCTGCATTTGCCGTCTTTTAGCAGCCTCTTCTTCAGCTAAAAGCAGAATGGCAGATGCTTTTAAATGGGTTTTAATTTTATACCAGTTATTTATCAAACAATATATATTCTTTCTTTTCGGCAGTCATACAAACACAATATTTCACTATTTCCAAATTTGACTTTAAAAGACACATGGTTTTTATGTGTGGCCTTTATCTGATGAAAGAGGACTGTAAAAAACTAAATAAATAAAACTCACTGAAATCGCTTTCTTGTAAAGAAAGCAATATCAACCTGTTTTTAGAAGGTGCTTTCCTGCTAGTAATTATAAAACTTTTTATATAATTCAACTAAAATTCCAGTAGGGCCTTATGATTATATACCAAGCTAGAACCAGGACAGAAGAACAGTAAAAAACAATAGTCAAAAAAATATTGTTGTAGTCAACCTCACCTGAGAAGTTGCATCTTTACAAGGAGAAAATATCTGACTAATAACATAACAAAAAATTAGTTTAAAAAAAGGATTTTTATTGGAGATCTTTCATTAATATTCAAGTTCTCTGTTCTTTCCAATGTATTGATGTAACACTGGAAATCAGATAATTGGAGTAGATGCCCCCCAAATTATTTTGCTACTATAATGGAGCATTTTAACAGAAATCTAGAACTCATCAAGAGACATTTGAATGGTTTGTTTGGAATATCTGTAAACTACTTCTTGTGATATAAAACCAAAATTTGATGTATTAAACAGGAATACCTAAATCATACTGGCCCATATCCAAAGGTGGACTATATTTAGTGATATCTCTACAGAATGCCTAAATATTCTATCAGAGCCATTATTTTGAATATGTTACCTGGTAACAAAGGAGGTATGTTCAAGGTTTTCTGTCGTTCGGTAACAGAAAGTTTTACCTGAAAACACAGCTTGCCTTTAGAGGCAATACTGACATTAGCACTTTGGACGGTTAAATATAATTTATCTCCCAAATACTACCTTAGCACAGCACATTCCACTTAAAGTTATTTTAAAAAGGTTATTATCTATTTTTCTTCTAAGCATTATTAATTAACCTTCAGCATAATGTTCTGTTTCTGTCATTGCCAAAAACCATTTTACATTAATTAATTGAGCGGCCTGAGGGTTTACAGAACACCTGTATACATGTAACACCTGTGCATACCAACGGGAGATCACCTCTAAATAAAACACCAGTGGGAGAAGCTGCCCAAGTGGCAGCCGGAAGTAAGTACATCGCATGCTTCCTGCTCTTAAGTCTCGTCTTTAGGACCATAACTACGTCATCAGCACTGACCACTTCTGACCAACGTGGAAAAGGAATGGCTAGAAAAAGGCCTCAAAAATGTTGTCCAAGGCCTAGACCAATGTGGACACGCCTCCTACTGAGCAATACTTACTTTCACAAAAGCCCCACTTTTCATCTGCCTTGTAGTCATAGGTTGTAGCGCACCATAATCTGCCATCCTCCCTCCCATCTGATGTACACTCATCGTATTCCTTATCCAGGAACAGGAAAGGGAAGTGGCAGGGCTCCCCATGTGCTGTGCCTTCGATGGCAGTCAGAGCTGAAAAGATAAGAAAGACTCTAACCATGAAGGGCACCTCTGGTATTCATGGATACGTTACTGTCCATTCTAAAGATTAGAATCTGAAGACAAAAATACATAATTTGAAATGGAGAACATGAAAGGACCAGCATCAGTTTTCTGTAGAGACAGCTTGAGGGTGGGTCAACTTAGTGGACATGGCTGATTGATTTCCCAGCTCTATATCTAGCTTAGAATCTCTGAAGGTCTTGAGAGCTGATAACCTTGGAATGTTAAAAATCTACTGTAAAACTCCTAGCTAACTAGTGAGCAAAAAATAAGGCAAAGCAACTGAATCAATTCCGTTGCTTAGCACAACTCTCCTTTTTTTCTATCTGAATGTTGTAAGTCAATTTCTTTAATAGTGTAAACTTATACAGGGAAAATGCTCCCACAGGTAAAGTTAATCACTCATGCACACTTCTGTGATCCCACAGCATTTTATCAGAGTACTTATCATATGTGTTGAGCTTCTTTCTTTACCGTATTCTAGCTTCCACTAGACCCTGAGCTTGTTAAAAGTAGAGACCATATCTCTAATTTGTTCTTTTTTTAGTTTTTTTTTTTCCACATTTATTCATTTTTGAGAGAGAGAGACAGAGCATGAGCAGGGGTCAGACAGAGAGGGATACGCAGAATCTGAAGCAGGCTCCAGGCTCTGAGCTCTCAGCACAGAGTCTGACGTGGGGCTTGAACCCATGAGTCAGTCGTGAGATCATGACCTGAGCTGAAGTCAGATGATTAACTGACTGAGCCATCCAGGCACCCCTCTAATTTGTTCTTAAGTCTTTTTGAGTATCTTCTAGGTGCTGGAAACAAGGTGGAGCAGAGGCCTCTGCTGTATACAACTTACTGCCTGGCAAGGAAAAGTGACATGAAACAAAAGTGTGATCGATGATATGAATAGGAAAGCCTCCCCTGTCAGGAACTGAGGTTTACACTGAACTTCACAAATGTGTAGGAGATGAGGGTGGATGAATTGCTTCAGGGTGGGTGGCAGAAATATTATAGGCAAAGGGAACCTTGTGTGCTAAGAATCAAATGAAAGATAGCACGGTACAGCAGAAAAAAATACAAAAAGTTCAGTAAGTTAGAACATGTGGATGAGAGAAGAGGCTAAAAGCTAAATCGGCCTAAAGAAGCCAGAGTAGGAAGACCTTGACACATGTAAGTAAGGAGTCTGGACTTTATCCTGAGAACAATGGAAATTCACTTAAGAGTTTTAAACAGGAATGACATGCTCATACTTGCATTTTTATTAAGAGAGTGGACAACGGAAAAGAGAGAAGCAAGGCTAGATGCAAGGTGACCAGTTTAAAGGTTGTGACAGTAGCCTAATCAAGAGGTAAGGGTAGCCTGAAGAGGATAATGGAATGAAAGAAGTGATGGGGCGCCTGGGTGGCTCAGTCGAGCGTCCGACTTTGGCTCAGGTCATGATCTCACGGTTCGTGGGTTTGAGCCCCGCGTCGGGCTCTGCGCTGACAGCTCGGAGCCTGGAGTCTGCTTCAGATTCTGTGTCTCCCTATCTCTCTGCCTCTCCCCACCTCAAGCTCTGTCTCTTTCTGTCTCAAAAATAAATAAACATTGAAAAAAAAAAAAAAGAAAGAAGTGGATGTACTCAAGTGATGTTGAGGAAGTAGAAACGGTATCACTTTCTGCTAGGTGCAGATGAGAGGAAAGAGGGGTCATGGAACAGTCCTAGATATTAGGCTTCAGGAAGTGAGGAGATGGCTGTCCTCACTAAGAGAACACTAAAGGAGGAGGTTATTGGGTAGGGATGAAAGGGATCAGGGCAGACACAAGTTAAGTTTTGATCCTGCTACATTCAAAGTGACTACAAAACAAAAAACAAAAAGCAAAACACAAGTAAAGATGTTTTAAGACAACTGGAGAAAGTTTTCCAGTTCCTAGATACACTGGAAGCCAAGAGTATGCATAAGAATGCTAAATGAGAAGTACAGGAGAAGACCAGAAGGCCAGGGTTGAGCCTAGAAGCATACATTTTAAGTGTGAGTACACATCAACTTCCACTAGTTGGTTTTACATGGAGAATTTAATTAGGCAGCAGAGCTTAGTGATCAAGGGTACAGATTTCTGGAGTTAGAATGCCTGATTCAAACCCTACCATTTATTAGCTGTACACTTTGAGCAAATTATTTAATCTCTTCACTTATCTGTAAAATGATTTGCAGATAACTGCCTTATCTACAAATAGAGATAACAGTCCTTGCTGCATAGAGTTATTCACAAAGATGAACTGAACTAATACATGTAAAGGACCCATCATGGTGGCTGCCACTTAAGGTAATAAGCGATACAACTACTATTATTACTGGAACACCTGCTCTGAAAGGCTAGAAAATGTGCGCTCCTTCTTTCCAGGGCAAAGAAGAATACATACGAAAATACTAATTTGAAAATTATTTTCAGTTAAGTTATAAAAGGCAAAATTAAATTCACACAGTTCACCACCAGATAAATGTCATTCACCATGCTGGTAATCACTACCAGAGGCAAACACTTTGACTTGCCCATGTTTATAATATGATCTTTAGTACAGCGTGTCCTTTAGCACCAACCTCAGAGTGGTGACTTTAACTACAGGGTTTGAAAAAGGCACTCCTATGTACTGCTACTAGATTCAAATTTGCTTGAGAAAAATAGTATTTGTAAAACAGCGGTTTGTAAACTTGAATTTCAAATTAAATAAGTTTAAAAGAGTATTTGATTTTTTTTTGGCGACAGAAATTTAAAAAAAAAAAGTAGCTTGTCCTAAGAATTCTGATTTGTCAAAGCTTTCTAAGTGGTGCAAATATACGAAAAAAATTCTCTTTCACGTAATGAAACCATACACCAGCAAAGAAACTGGAAAGAACTCAAAGATTTTTGGCAACCAAAGGTTTTAACCCAAGGCTGATTCAGCACTAACTTAAGTAGAAAGAACCCCCAGGGTGCATGTGCTTCACCAATTTAGTTAAAGTGAATCATGGTCTAAATAATGTGTTTATTAGGAAGTAAGTGGAAAGAAAATCTGTACGTTTCAGCTATGTTCTCTAAGCCAAATCACAACAGGGAATTGCTACTACCTTTTAAACTGGTTGTAAAGTCTTCTAAAAGTTACTGACCAGGACTTGCTAGTTCTAAGTCGATTATCTCGTGTAGATATTCTGTACAATAGCATTATTATTCAGTTAATTTTCTTTCCATGAAGAAATTCAAGAGTTTCAAAGCTACCATTTTAAAAACTGCCATAAAACACAGTACCAGCTTTAAAAACAATGGTAATCACTGCTCTGACACAATGAAGCAGGCTGATTATGCAATTTAAGTTAATGAGAGCCAACAGTCAAACCTGACTCTCGAAAGGGGGGAAAAATGTGTCCTTAAGTCAGTTCTGTGCCTTCCTGTGAAAAACCACATTTTTAGAGAAGGAATCATATTTTGACTCTACAATGATGACACAGTACCACTATCTATTTAAACCTTGACAGTAAGATATTTATGATTTGTTTATGAGAACTTAATTAACAGGCTGCTTTATATTTAAACTAGTAAAGATTTGCTCTTGCAAAGTCAGTAAAAATCATTCAAGAAAGCTAGAAAGAGAGGAAAAAAAAAAAGACAATCCAAAACAACAACCCCAAAGTCATTCAGTGCTGGCCAGAGTCTGGGTACAGAAGAACCTTCACACTGCTGGTAGGAGTATAAATTAGGACAAGCTTTTCAAGAGCGACCTTTAGGAATACCTATTAGCATTTAAAACGGCCCATACTTTGGAAGCCCATTTTTCCACTTCTGGATGTTACCTGTAGAAATGGTCCCATAAGGATGCAAAGAGATATGTGTAAGAGAGTGTGTATAAAGTTATCAAACCAACAACAACTCAAAGGTTTATCAGTAGGAGATTGGTTAAATCTTGACAGTGTAGCTGTTACAAGAAAACCTGGGCAGCAATACAGATGGAAGAATAGATGGAGCAGAGGATCAAAAGCTGGGTGTCAGGGCAACCCTGTATCTGAAGGTGAGGCAGATTCCAGGGAATGAGCAGCTAAGTGAAGAAAGCATCTTCAGAGTAGGAAAAAAGATGTGAGGGGTTGGTAAGATGAGGACCAAGAACTGACCATCGTCCAGCAATGAGAACACGACTGGAGCCAGAGGACTGACAGGTCTTGAGGGGACCAGAGCATCGCCGAAGTCGGATGAGAGAATGGGAAGAGAGGAAGTGAATACAGACAACTCTTCCAAAGAACACTGTTAGAAAGAGGGGAATAGGGAAGGAGAGAGGTTGCTAGAAGGGGTTTTGGTTTTTAAAATATAAGCTATTACAGCATTTCTGAATGATCATGGAAAGAATCCGAGAGAGAGGGGGCAATGTAAGTTGGGCTAGAATGTTGCTGTATGAACTGAATTAAATGTCCTGGGAATAGCAACACCTAATAGCTTTTCCTCATTTCTAATGGTAAAATCAAAATGAAACCCAGAAAAGTCAACTTCTTGATTCATAAAGATAAAATCAAGGAATTTAGTTTTGCAAATTTCTCTTAACAGCTTTTACACTGCCATTAAAGACTGATACTGTATCTATAAGTTTAGATAAGTGCCCTATTAATCGTGCTGCTTGTTTGAAGCAATCCTGTACTTCCAAGCATACAACAGTAAGTAGCATTTTAGTCAAATATATTTATAGTAGAAAATAGCTGCAATACAATCATTTAATGTTAAAAAGCTATCAACCTCAACACAACTGTCATACAGTGTCCATCAAGTTTAGTAAACAGCAAGATAAAAACTCAACCAACCAACCATCATCGAAAATCCCCAAAGTACTAAGAACAAAACACAAGTATAGATGATTCAAAGCAAACCCTACTTGAGACAGAGCAAATGGTATAGGCCAAAAAAAGATATTTACTGTGGAAATATGGAACAGCATTCTCTTAGGGAAATTACTAATATTATATAATTTGCTATAGACATTG